GGTACCTCCCTCTCATACTCAGTTAATATCTGATCCTGCTAAGATATATTTTTAAAAAATCTATCCGATTACTTTCCAATACATGACCAGCCCCTAAAAACAAAAACCGTGTGTCTAGTCTTACATAAAAATCAAGGGCCGGGTGAAGTGGCTCATGCCTGTAGTCCCAGCTGTGTGGGAGGCCGATGCAGATCAATCACTTGAGTAAGGTGTTTGAGACCAGCCTGGACAACATAGTGAGACCTTTGTCTCTACAAAAAATAAAATAAAATAAAAATTAGCTGGGAGTGATGGCACATGCCTGTGGTTCCAGTTACTCAGGAGGTTGAGGTGGGAGGATTGCCTGAGTCCAGGAGGTTGAGGTTGTGGTGAGCCGTGATCATGACACCGCACTCCAGCCTGGGCAACACAGTGAGACCCCCAACTCAAAAAAAAAAAAAAGCTGGGCTCGGTGGCTCAGCCTGTAATCCCGTGCCTTGGGAGGGTGAAGTGAGTGGATTGCCTGAGCCCGCAGTTTCGAGGCCTGCCTGGGCAACCTGGCGAGACCTCATCTCTACAATAAATCAAAAAAATTAGCTGGGCGTATTAGCACGCGCCTGTAGTTCCAGTTACTTGGAAGGTTGAGGCGGAAGGATCGCCGGAGCCCAGCAGGTCGAGGCTGCGGTGGCCGGGAATGGCCACTGCACTCCGGTCTGGGCAACAGAGTGAGACTCCAACTCAAAAAAAAAAAGAAGCTGGGCATGGAGGCTCACATCTTGTAACCCAGCACTTTGGGAGGTGGAGGCGAGAGGATTGCCTGAGCCCATGGGCTTGAAACTACCCTAGGCAACTTGGCAAGACCTTGTCTCTACAGTAAATAAAAAAATTAGCGGGACATGGTGGTATGCACCTGGAGTTTCAGCTACTTGGAAGGCTGAGGCGGAAGAATTGCCTGAGCCCAGTAGGTCAAGGCTGCAGTGGCCATGAGCATACCACTGCACTCCAGCCTGGGTGACACAGTGAGACTCAGACTCAAAAAAAAAGAGTTCTGGTGATTGGTTGCACAACAATGTGAATTGTGAATGTACTGAACACTTAAAAATGGTTAAAATGGTAAATTTTATGTTATGCTGTATTTTACAATTAAACTAAAATCATTAATCGAGCTGAGTGCAGTGGCTCATACTTGTAAACCCAGCAATTTGGAAGGCTGAGGCATGGCATAAGGACTGCTTGGGGCCAGGAGTTCAAGGCTAGCCTAGGCAACATAGAAAGACCCTATCTCAAAAAAATTAAATTAAATTAAAATAAATCATTTTCCAAAACAATAAGGTGGAAAGGAAAAAGAAAACATAAGCTTCTCTGATCATGTGTCGTAGTGAGGGAGGCAGTGAGAATGAAGAGTAGCTAAGAAAGATGGCAGTTAACTATCTGTGTCAGGTGCTAGGACTTGACGTGATGGTCCCATTTAATCCTCATTTCAAACTGACGAGGCAAGTCCTTGATAGGCTCTATTTTATAGCTAAGGAAAGTGCGGCACAGAAAGATTAACTTCCCTAATGTTATTCGACTTGAAAGGACTTGGGGCGGAGCCTCTGACTCCAAACCTTTTCCTCTGAACCATCTGGCAATAGACAGAATTTCATCCTCACGAAAATCTCCCCACTCTTAGACCAGAAGGGATCATGGAAATAATGAACATAATTACTGAGCTGTGCAAAGCTCTCTCTGTGTCACTAAGCAGCTTCTCACAGCTGTTCTCCTTGTAACACAAGAGGAAATTGAACCTGAGAGAAATTAAGTAACTTGCTTCATTCAGGTCACTCGACACACTAGGGCTCCGATTCCACAGCTTCTAACTCTGTTACCATGGCTACCCATTCACATCCAACTCCTCATCTGGTCCAGCTTCTCATTTTTCAGATGAGAATGTCTATAAGGGACATACTCATAGTGGCTAAAGGCTTGTCCAAGGTCACATAGAGAGCTAGTTAGTTTTGCATTCATCATCAGCTTATACCTTGAAAAACATTGCCGGGTGTGTTGGCTCACATCTGTAATCCCAGCATTTTGGAAGGCCGAGGGAATAGGACTGCTTGAGCCCAGGAGTTCGAGACCAGCCTGGCCAACATAGCAAGACCTTGCCTCTACAAAAAACTCAAAAAATTATCTGGGTATGGTGGTGCAGCCTGTAGTTCCAGTTACTCGGGAGGCTGAGGTGGAAAGGATCGCCTGAGCCCAGGAGGTTGAGGTTATGGTGAGTTGTGATTGTACCATGCACTCAAGCCTGGGTTACAGAGTGAGACTGCAACCCCCCCAAAATGTTTTTTGCCATGATAACATACCCAGTCTACAAATATGTTTGACAATGTAAGCATTAGTACAGAGGCAGAGGGTTTTGTCAGCAAAAAATAGAGTGCTTCCTTCTAGAAGCTTCTTTATTTGCAGAGTTGATGCATCAGAACCACCACTTCACTTAAGCACCCAACTTTTCAATACCTGCCCCAACCCAGGCTCCTTGTCCATTAGCTCTACAATTATGTATGATCAATGGAGCAAATCCACTCAGACAGCATGTCGAGCCACTCTTGTAGTGGATTTGGTAGCGAGGCAGCCAAGTCCATGAGCGCTACAGATGCAGACCTCTGAGGAATGAAAGGCATAAATTTCCATTTGATCTTGACTGCCTGTCTACACGGAACTCCTAAGAGTCTCAATAACCCTGAATGAACTTTGTGATATCTGAGCATAAAAGTGGAGAGCTAAGTTCTTCTGTCCAGCGCCATTTTTCTTTTTCTTTTTTTTTTGAGTTGGAGTCTCACTTTGTCGCCCAGACT